TAGATTATAGCTTTAGATTTAGTTACTCGGTTTGTTTATAGTTTATAGCTTCAGATTTAGATACTCACTGTTTATATACTATAGCTTTATATTTAGATACTCACTGTGTTTATATATTATACCTTTAGATTTAGATACTCAGTGCTTTTATGTATTATACCTTTAGATTTAGATACTCAGAGTGTTTATATATTGTACCTTTAGATTTATATACTCAGAGTGTTTAAAGATTGTAGCTTTAGATTTTGATACTCAGTGTGTTTATGGATTATAGCTTTAGATTTACATCCTCAGTGTGTTTATGGATTATAGCTTTAGATTGAGATACTCACTGTGTTTATACATTATAGCTTTAGATTTAGATACTCACTGTGTTTATATATTATAGCTTTAGATTTAGATACTCACTGTGTTTATATATTACAGCTTTAGATTTTTATATTCACTGTTTTTATATATTATAGCTTTAGATTTTGATATTCACTGTGTTTATATATTATAGATTTAGCTTCTGATACTCACTGTATATATACATCATAGCTTTAGATTTAGATACTCACTGTGTTCATATATTTATATACTATATACATTTACATACTATAAACATAAATATTTATATACTATATTTATATACTTTAGATTTAGATATTCACTGTGTTTATATATTGCAGCTTTAGATATAGATACTCACTGTGTTTATATATTATATATATATATATTTATATATATATATATATATATATATATATATATACTATATTATTTGATAGTCACTGTGTTTATATATTGCAGATTTATACTTCGATACTCACTCTGTTTATATATTATGGCTTTAGACTTTGATACTCACTCTGTTTATATATTTATATACTATACCTATTTATATACTATAAATATAAATATTTATAATCTAGCCATGGGGGTTACAGTCCAGTGACTTCTGTGCCGGTCCCAAGCCCGGATAAATAGAGAGGGTTGCGTCAGGAAGGGCATCCGGCGTAAAACATTGCCAAATTTAATCATGCGAATCGTCAGTA